AACATCTGATTTAATGAATCTTGAAGATTACGTTTAACGCAAGTAGCAGTGATTTTATAAGATTCTTGCACATGATAACAGCCTTTTTAGCGTTTTGTAAGACCGTATAGCATGGGTGTAGTTTCTTTATAAACCTCTAATTGTATCATACTGTCTTCATGTCAGGCCAGCTTCGACAAACATAGACATTGAGGTTAATACGGTTGATAGCTGCTTTCCGTCATTTTGAGATTGAATGAACGCTTTTCGACCGTTTTTTGCTCGCGTTGGAGATTGCATTAGGTCTTTTATCACCTTTGAAGCATCAGTCTTACCCTCAGAATGTAACTTCGTATGAGTGGCAAAAGTCAACTCTTCAGAGGTTATTTCACCACGGAATGCTTCTGTCTTTCGTCTTTTACTCCGCTCGCTAATCTTACTAAAAGATTTTTGTGGGCGCCCTGGTCGTGATTTTGTTTGTGGTATTTCAAATGTCATTTGGAGCCAACGATTATTTCTTTTAAGGAAAAGATCTTCTATGTAATGTGCGGCAATCCATCTACGTTTTATTTCTAATTTTAGATTTGACAATTTGTGTTTAACTTCTTTTCGTTGTTCTTCTGAATAATTTTGAGAATTCAACAAAAAAAGATTCAGCATAGTCCAATTTTTTGTTAATGTTGTTATTGGTATACCCTTACATAATTTTTTTCGATTATTGATCTTGACTCTAGAGGGCCCTATAAAGAAAGAAAAGAAATGGCTTAAACTAACATTCATCTTTTATTTGGCGATTATACTGAAATTTGGATGAAGTTGGAAACATTTTCTGTCGATATGATTAGCCAAGATCTAATTATATATTAGACCAAAATCCTAACCGGGATACATCTAGAAATTCATCAAAACCATTCGAGTTTAATTAATATCAAAGGTAAAAATGATTGGAACTTAGATTTCGCGAAAACGTCATTTTTTCTAATAAATCAATTAAAATTGACAAAATGGGTTGTACATACCTGCCTCAGAAACGTCTATGTTGAAAAACTGGTACACGATTCGTAAGAACTTTGAAATATTGTCGTCACAATAAATACGCTGAGAACAGATACGTGAGCAATGAAGAATAATCAAATGCGCACCGAGACTACTGGCGAGAAATAGCAGTGGGTAAACAATATAGTATATGGGGAATTCCCTTAGGAAATTAAAGGGAAAATGGAAAGCGTTATGTCTGAGATGGAATCTTGGTGTAAAAAATCAACTAATATTGAATAAGGAAAAAATATTTACACATTTTTTTATTAGGAAGCGATTACCAGGCCATATTTTTAATGACAGTGAGATATATTTCTAATGCGGTGCAAAGCTGTTGGGTACTTTCTTAGACTCTGATCTCAAGTTTACCAATCACATAAATCATGTCTGCAAAAAAATGATCAAGGCATATTTTCAAAATGGAACCCCTCCTAAGACAGAATGGTCTTTTAAGCCTATACCATGCTTTTGCTTTTAGCCATTTGTCATTTAATCTTGCCAGTTGGGGAGTTTCTTCTGATATTAAGAGGGTATTTTTAGCTCCAAAGAAAATCATTGGGCTCATTTTTTGTTTAAACCATACTGCAGGCAAACTTTTAAAGAATACGGAATTCTAACACTCATCAATTTACATATAAAAATGTGTAACATTTATGAAAAGCAACCCTGATAGTTTTCCTCTCCTTGGAAGTAACCACAACTATACAACATGCAGTACGATTTGAAGTTTTCCTAGGCATAAAACAACAGCATTCCTATACAACCTATTCAACAATTCACCAAAATATTTATGGGATATCACAAATAATGTAATAAAGTAAATAAAAGTTCTATTCCAGAGGTTTTATACTGTACAAGAGTTTTTATCTCCCAGATTTTAAATAATTGTCATTATCACCTATAGATATTTTAGTATTATAATTTTTATTATGTCTTTTGTATCAATCATTATTTCTCTCTTTGACTTGTCTCATGTATTAATTCGTTAGTGTGATCAATAAACATCATTGCACTTCAATAAAAAATGTATAGCATAGTCAACAGATTACGATTACGACAAATTAAAGGGTATATGTAGATGTATGGTTTGTTCGTACAGCCTGCTTGTTGAGAATCAGAAAACTGATTGTGGTCGATAAATCATGACCTAGTTTATTCAGTTAGCTGTCACTGACACATCACTGACTGTATAGATTGCCTACAGGAGAACGTTACGAGTTGGCTGAGGGAGCTTTGACCGATTACCGATAACTGATCCACTATTCGTACAGAAACTTCTGACTGTTTGATGACTGTCAAATTAGTCAGCAGATTATTGTCCAGTAAATTGTCAGAGCTCGAAATAAAGAAGATCCATTATTCGAATGCAACATTTTTCAGAATGAGATAGACAATTTTGGAAAAGTTCTGGTATTTTCATTTTCTGTAAACCAGTCTGATTTAGGATTGTCCGGAAGTGCCTGAACGTTCGTCTAGAGGGGATAACACGTCCTACTAAAAACAACAACACCAATAAATGTCAAGTAGTTTTACTCAGTAATTCCTATTCAATTCTCATTTAAAAAGTACTATGGACATAAATTCGAAGGAATGTGATTCCACACATCGAATGACAAGTTGATGAAGCAAAAACTAAGAATTCTGAATAAACGTCTGTGACGATTATGCATGAAAAATGCACAAGATATTGTAAATGTGTTTTTATAAAGCTAGGGTAGTAGCGTTTTTGTTAAATGTTGCCTAACTGTTTTCGCCCAGGCTTGAACAAACTTATCGCGTGTTTCCGCATTTTGAAACACAAAATTTTGTAAGAATTAGTGTTCACTAAAAAATAGTATTAATTATTGTGGTTCTTGAAAGTTGTGTCCTCTAATGTTCTAATCTAGGGATTGCATTAATTTCTGTCTTTACACGGCCAATAAAATATTGAGCAGGCATCACTTTGATAGCTTAAACTGATTTGAGATTGCATCAAATATGAATTCATATATTTTGGAACGCGTATTGAAAACAGATAATTTTATATTAGACCTTATTGTCATATAAAAAACGTAAGGTGTGGACAAATTATAGCCGAATATATGCATAATTAACATCACAGTGCCATCACTATTCTCTGCCACATCACTTAGCTCTGATGGGGGATTTTTTAGGTAATTCTTATCATCATCAACTTCGGTGTGCTCCGCTCACGCTCGTATGAAATGCACTGTCTATCTGATGCTTCTTAACGTGGTAGGGTTACCTACATTTTTTGCTTCAAACGGCGTTTGCAGTGCTCTACTAGAATGCGTTGTTAAGAATGTTTTCTGTTATAGTTTAGTTGTCTGGATGATAATAGGTGGCCAAGGTCTTGGAATGGAATTAAGAGGTTGGGTAACAAGGGGTATGCGAGTATGTGATCAGTACCACAATTCTGCTCCAGTCTTTGAAAAGCTTGTGACATTTTAAAAACCTTAGCATCAGGTACAGAACCGTTACCACCAAAAGTACAAGGCCTGACAACGGACGCGTGACGTCACCACGAGTAGGCCGGTCGGCTGGCCGACAGCACGGCGTGCCGTACATCAGCGGTAGTGAATAATATATTATTGCAGCATATTTAATATACTCTACCTGATGTAAATAACAGATAATTCAGAAAAGTGTTTTTGGTATATGAAGGCAACTTGGTGGAAAATACTAAAGTAGTTATTAACTATTTTCACCCTGATTTTCACTGATATTTCATCCAAAGTTACGTGCACATTAGATTAATAAGTTGATGTTATAAAAGCTTCATTCCACTCTTCTAGCCAATCTAGCATTTTTTGCAAGAATGTCAGCTTACTGTCATCACCTTGTCCATCACTGTTGGAGCAAACAATAGGCTCTGCATAAAGGTCATTTAACAGCTTTCCTTTCAATGGACTTTTTACATAGACAATTCTCCACCACTTCCATATAATATCTATGAATTTTGCTGTCTCTTCGGAGTGCTGTATGTTTTTACCAAACCTTGATACTGCATCTATTACATATGGGTTGAATATCTTGAGAGCTAAATGGTTGGTAGGATATAAGGCTTTTATCTGGAGAAAAATGTGCCATCGCTTTACTATTCAGTGCATTATTATCACTTACAACACAAACAATTTTATAACCAAGTTCTTCTAATCCAATAATAAGTTTTTTTGTCATATTGTATAATAGATTATGATCAATTTTAGAAACAGGACAGATTTGAACAACTTCTTTGAAATTGTGGCTGTTGTAGCTAATGAAGTATTATTAATTGACGTTCTAACAATATTACCCCCTTTGAAATCTAAATATGGCTGAATGTGTATTTCATCCATCAATAAAATCATGTACTTACTCCTCACCAGGTTTTACAAATCTGAACAGGTTTTTTGCATAGCCGAAAAAGTTATATCTCTCATCGGGAACTGGATCGACCTTCAGTGTATTACATATTACAGAGTATTTTGGTGTGGTAAAATAAGTGCTCCATGGCTCCTAATAAATCTACATGAATGTGGACTGATTGTATACAACATAGAGCAAAACACTATTGTTTCTGATAAGTCACTGTGTCTGTTCTTCTGACTAATAGCAAGCTTTAGTTGCTCACAAATAAATTGAGTAACAGTGTGGGTCTCTTCATCGGTGAATATTTCCTCGAAGCATCTGCATTCTCAGAAAGAACATGCAGAATATCATCCAAGTGGTGTATATTAGATAATAAAAATGGAGTTTTAATATTACCTGAGTTGAGTAACAATTCTTGGGAGTACATATACGTTTTTACATTGAGATCTTTATGAACAGTTACAGAGTGAGTTATGATGGGTGCTGGTTTATATTCTAACTTAAACAAAGTAACTTTATCCTGAACAATTTTATGCCACCCATATGGACATTGCCATGAACTGAAAACTGCGAGAAAGTCTGGATAATTTTGAAAACAAGTTGATTTTTGATAGGAATGCTAGTATGCAGTGCTTTAAGTAGTTGTTCTTGTTCCTTGTCCCTCAATTTCTCATCTCGGCTTCTTCTGCTTAATATGTCCTTTGAAAGGTATTTTGGACAATTTGCAAAGATACTTGGAATAACATCTGCCTTTCATTTTGGATACTTAAGGGGTACAGTAATGGTCCTACCTGTCTTTTCGTCATGGAAGGTGGATTCCCAAATGATGCTGTCCTCAGCAAAGTGCAAATTACATACTCTGATGTATTTTGTAACCACTAAATCACTACGAGGGATTGCATTGAGCCATCTTTTACGACAGTTTTCGTTCAATGGAAACGAAAATACGTGTACCTTCGGACCCTTCCCGTAATTACCGACACAATTAGGAACGCAGCACTTGTTAGGCATTTTGAAAACTTAGCTAAACAATCGCGAGATACAAATATAAGTTTAAAACATCAATAACTTTCAGTTTACATAGCATAGAAAGATGAGGCTCAAAATGTGAGGTTAGTTAGCAGGGTTGCCACATATTCCAATTTTGAATGGAATATTAGACTTCACAAGTGACAGATTGAACGTAATATCGAAAAGGTATTCTTGACATACTGAGGCAGATTAGAAAGAATAATCACATCATCACTGAAGCTGCACATTACATCTTGCAAATTCGTCCATAGGGAGGTACAACTAATTAGTAGAGATTTCGATACTGCTATATCAAACCTAGATATGACAACACCCCAGAGAAATGGTGGCGCGGTTCTCTTGCCAGCCAGTCATCGCGAAACTCCATAAGAACATGCATAGGCCTACTCTGCGTGACGTCACAGGCTTTTCATATCCCAGTTGTTTGGCATTGTACTCTCGGTGGTAACGACAGAACCCAAAAAACCAACCGAACATACTGATAATTTTCAAATCTTGGTCGCATATAAGTTGTGAGCGGAATGAAAATAATTGTAATGAAAATATTTATGTTTTTTGGGTTTTATTCTCGAAGTCTTCGCTGCTTGGTTCATCGCTCATAGTTTTTTCACTCCGAAGCAGCCGCTCAGGCAAAGCCTAAACGCCAGGGCAGCGAGGCTATTATGAGGAGCTTAAAGTAACTTTGCTAATCCCATGTTTAAGTTGCCTAAGCTTAATAGAACTAGGAAAAGCCTAAACATCCCCCTCATAATTTTGATACACTATCAGGCAGACGGGTCTATCTGGCAGGCATATCGCGCGGCGGCATAATCGAGGGGAGCTCTGAGGAGCAAATATTAGCAGTAGAAGAGACCTAGATCGCCAATCTGTGTCCTCAGACCGTCCATTAGAGAAGAGTAATCGATCATTAAATGCCTCTTGCGAAGCAATTTTAGTTCTAAAGATAGTTTCGACACACTCTGATACCTGTCACTGTCACTGGTTGACTAGTGTCCTCAGATCTATCAGAAGGTCTGTACGAACAGCGGATTAGCTGTCGGCAAACAGTCAGAAGCTGTACGAACAGGTAACATCATCTGATTCTGATTTTGACAGTCACCGACAAGTTACCAACTACTGTACGAACAAACCAGTAATGATACTTCCGCTTTGAATGGCTAAACCAAGAATCTAAAAGTATAAACCAATACTATTTGATACTGTCGGGTCAGTTTGTGTTTCATTCTTAAATGTGAAAGATCAACATGTTCAATAGACTTTGATAATTTGAGAAAGAAGTCAAATTTTCCTTCCCATGCCAAAAATAGCGAGGAAGTATTGTAATCGCGAAAAATTTCGAAATTGAAATATTATGTTTTTTGGATGTTATCCCAGGAAAAACCATGTCACTCGTTTTCATTGGTCTGACTGTCGGTCTGTCGATCTATCAACGAATTGTATAAGCGTCTACTTTGATGAAACTTTCACTCAAGGTTACTACTATTATGCCAAGTATAAAACAGCTTATAGTTTTTGAAAATTGGTCCAGTGGTAGCGGAGCTAGGGGCAAAAAGCTTAATCGTCGTTTTTTGACATTTCAGATGCCCCTGATCAGTTTCGTAAATTTTTTGTAGGGGTTGAAACTTGGGGTTGTAACTTGGGGTTGTAGGAGGTACAGGTCGTAAGTGCAACGTTTCTAGTATTATTCAAAGATGTTCTATCATTAAGAGGCTTCTGATCCCCGTAGCAACGGGAAAATTAGCTGATAAAGGTCTGATGTACAATCAAGCAACTTGGAAATCCATGGCGTTGCGTGTACGGCAAAATGCTGAACCGTCATGGAGGCCATTACCGACTGTGCAATGGGTAAGAAACTAGAAATGGTTTGTGGTGGTGTCGTCACTGACACACCACTACACAGACTTGTGTGATGCATATATCTTTAAGCAACAGAAAACTTGTGAACCGAAGTTTGAATATTATCGTAAGTTTTATACTTCCATCGCTCAGCTAGTCGTAGGTTTTGAAAATTGATTCAATGGCTGCGGAAATAAAATCGCGTTACAACCTGTCAGAGATTCATGCTTATTTTCAGACATTGTTTGAAGGGAATGAAATTGTAGGCTGGAAGCTGTTGTATGCGGTAAATGGTTGTAATTGCTGCATATCTGGGAAGCTGCTGATCTCAGTGATACTATACGCCTGTTAGACATGATAAATCACACATATTTCCCTACATCTTGCATGGAAACAGAAATAGCATAGATTTGCTTTACATAGTTGGATATGCAGAGGTCGAAGATTCATCGTAGGGTAAACCGGGGCAAAGTGAATACCTAAAGTTGTTTTTGGTTATTGTCGATTAGTTATAACTTGGGAAATTCAAACAAATATTCATAACCAGCCTTCATTAAAGGAACTTACGAAATTCTATAGCATTTGCCCTTAATACTAATTATGTTATAAGTTATAAGCTAAGTTTACAACAGTTGCTTACTATCCACTTTGCCCGGGATCCCAGGTAAAGTGGATATGGTACCTGGGCAAAGCTAATAACAACAGTATTTAGCATGAAATTAAACTTTCAAACAAAATAAACAAACAAAACTAGAACATCATCTTTATTTAATATTTTATTTATAATAAAATGTTTATGTGGTACCAGCTCAAACTAAAGAACAACATTATTTGGAATAAAATAAAGCTTAAAAACAGAAAAAACGTTGAAAACAAAAAAAACATAATATTTAAAATAACATTTTTCTGCTACAAATCTAACTATTGCAGTTATCGCTAACAAAATCATCACCACCTTCGTAGGCTGAACAGTCTTCATGGCACCACTCAGTACAAATCATACATTGTATCCAGTTTTCTGTTGGTTGATCATTTTCTTCAGTGTATATTTCACCACAGAAAATGCAGCTGACATCAACAAATTTCATTATTTTCTTGCGCTTTTTATTTTCTTTTGTAGTCTTTATCGGCTTTTTAGCAGATATTTTAGATTTAACAGACTCTTTGTTAACAGTCTTCTGGGAAGCTTTAGTCAAAACATCATCTAGTGACTTCATAACAGGCTTTTCTCCTTTTTCAAATTTCTGTTTCTGCTCTTCCTTTACTGGAGTGCTTGTCAGTATATTAGATCTTTGTAACTTCCGTTTACGTGTTGTTGTTGGTCTAGCAGGCTGAGGAATAGGTCTCAAAACTGAAGGACTATAGAACATCCAGGTTCAGGTGAAGCGGCGGGAGCCTAATTGTCGTGGGCTTCTTTTTTGGTGTCAGATTCCATAGGAGTGCACGGTCGGTCTTCAGCATACATATTAACGTCGTCTTGAGACTGAGAACGACCTAAAACTTCATCTAACGACGAAACAGGTAAAGGATTAATGGATTCTGTAATCGGTGTATTTTCTTCTTGAATATGGCTGATGACGGAATCAGATTGTTGAGTGGCCTTTGAAAATGAAGGTGATATGGGTTGATCGTGAGAATCAATTGAAGGTGACGCTTGAACAGCGGACTCAGGCAAATCAATTATTCCCAGTGAGGATAAAGTATCACTCTGAGTACTCGAAGCCGTTTTGCCCTAAGGGTACATTTTTGAGGTTATCTCGAGTCATTAAAACACAGTACATCTACACCCATCAACTACACATTCTTGGAAGCTACATAATCATGCATTAAATCCTTTACATGATCAAGAACATGCCACAAATAACATGATAGATATAAACGAAACACCTCTGTAAATTAATATTTTTTGTACAAAAACACACTTTGTCCACAAAATGGCGCAGCGAGATGCAAACAGGCGCAGAGGTATTTGCCGCGCAGTTAGCTGCAACAGGTGATATAACAACGCGGCTGCCGGCCAACAAATAAATTGGCAGCAGTGTTTCGCTTTGCCTGGGGTATCCACTTTGGATCCCAAATCAATCTACCTAATCACGATTCGATTTCGCCTTTTGAAACAATTTGACCCATCCCTTTGCTTTGACACCTCCAACGAATGCGTATGAAGTTAATCTGCTAGACGTCTTTTTTATAGCCGATTCAAATCTAAAATGGCCCGCCCTATTTAACATGCCTGAGACTGACTGATATGTATAAGCATATTCACCCATTTAGGACACGTGAGTTAATGCTTGGTATTACGAAGATCTAGGAGGGATCCTTATTTGATTAACCAAATTTGCTACAGTGACACCTCTCAAGCTGTGCATTTGCAAATTTCTATCAAGTTAGGGTACAAAGGGACTAGTAGTTAACGACAAGGTACAAATTGAGTTAGTGTCAGCCACAAAATAGTCCATGAATCATGCTGATGAGCAAGTGGTGAGTATGGGGGCGAGCGAGAGGCACATAATGTGACCAATAGTTATTGCATCCTGTAGTATTTATGTTCCTGTATAGGTGAACTATTTAGAGTGCATACCAGAATTCACCCTTAAAGCCTTGCAGGAGTTTTAAAAATTGAATTTATCATTGACTTTGATATTGCTTACTAACTAAATTATCTAATCTTGCAGTTTTCGGAGACATTGAGAACAGCATCCAGGTACCAGTCTATTTAAACCTCTATATTCAACAAAGCTTTAACTTTACACATCACCTTGTTTGTTGAACAAATATTCAGAAATTACTTCCAGTCATAGTTTTAAAAAGGAATTCAAGAATGTGCTTCTCTAGTTACAAGCTTCTGAAGCTATATATCATTAACTAGCGATTTAATATTGTTTTTTATTTACATTGGCATCTCAATTTTCTAACATTTCTGGAGGCGGTGGTGAAAATGGCAGGGCCAATCCTCAGCCTTTTGGAGCGTTGTTTTTTATATTTATCGTTATTTTGCACAAGTGCTCCAATAAACAGTATTATCATTGTTATAACTATTATTATTAGTATTTATATGGGACCGCGAACTTCGAAAGAAGACAAAAAACAGTATGTCGATTACTACTTACCTAGAGGTCATCTGTAGGTCAGGTTTGCAAATTCAAATAGCAACCACAGTAGATTCATGCAGTGATCGAAATTGTATATTCGAGTGCATTTTCAAACACGAGATCACACAATCATAGATGATCCATTCAGTATAACCTAGAGTACCTAACGTCTGAATGGTACAGTGTATCCCAGATTCGCATCTCTATACAGGGATCTCGGCTCGTGTTATACCTACAGCAAAGGTTAAATAGGGACAGTTTTAAAGGAAACTTAGTGCATTCGATA